CTCAGAATGACATAATATTTTGAATTAATCAATTTATACTTTGCAATTGATCTTTGAGGGTTCCCCCATATGTATACAATTAATTGGTTTTTCTCCTGTTGGTCTATATGAACTTAATTACTAGGCCAACCAAAAGAATCTAGAAAGGTAAAAAGAAAAAAAATTCTCTCCCCTAAAGAGGGAATTAGAGGAGGAGAAATATTGCTTGCTAGGAACATGCTACATTGCTAAGCATTCTACAAAGCACAGGACAGCCCATCAAAACCAAAGAATTATATGAAATTCTAAGAATTCTATATATAAGAGCCATCAGGAATTGTTGTTTCTAAGTGATTACATAAGACTTATAAGAAATAATAAATAGTGGGCCTCCCCTGGTGGCGCAGCGGTTGAGTGCTGGATTGCGAGGCTGCCTGCAGCCTCTGCAGCACCAGTTCGATCCCGGCCACCAACGAGGGTCCCACAAAAAAAAAAAAAAAGAAATTATCAATAGTGTCAATATTAAGAAACCTTACTCAGGATAAAACCCTACTCCAGGGTAAAACTAGAGACTCTCAGCTAATGAGGGGAAAGAAAAGAGGGAGAAAAAGTAAAAGATTTTAATTTTTCCATTCAGCCACATTGGGCCTCTTACTATTCAATGGGATGAGATTATTTCATTCCATACCCAGGACGTATTTTCCATAAATTGTTGGAATAAAGATAGAATTACTTATTATTTGTTAATAAAAGAAAATGTTTTCAGCGTAGCAAACTTCAAAAGGGCCTCACTAGTGGTGCAAAGGGTTAAGCATCAGCACTATGAAACAATCCCCGGTCAGGGAGATGACCCACATGGTGCAGCAGACCGCTCCTGTCTCTCCCACTGCTCCCCTCGGCAGTATTTCAGTGTGTGAGGCAGGAGAGGTCTGCTGCGCAATGTGGGTAGCTCCTTGGTCGGCTAAGGATCAAACGTGTGCTGCAGAGGCTAGGATAGCTTCACCATGCTTGCGCCACCAGGAAGGCCCTAGACAAATTTTAAAAATCAAAATTTGACAGAAGAAACTGAAGAAGTAAGTGGGTCTTAAATAGTAGTGTTCATTAGAATCACTTGGTTTAAAAGATTGCTGTCCACTCCCAACCCCAAGTTCTACTGAAAGGAAATCTAAGAGAATCCCTGCTATCATTTACTAAGGACTTCAGAGAAACAGTACACTTCTCAAGAAATTTAGGCCTCTATATCATTGAAAGAGGGCCTCCTTGGTGGCCTAGGGTTTAAGTTCTGATCAGCACTATCACTGGTAGAGCTTGAGTTTGATCCCCTGCCAAGGAGCTGACCCACATGGTGAAGCAGACCCCTCCTTTCTTATGCACTGCTCCTCTTAGCAGTGTATTTTAGTAGATCTGCCCATTCTGCTCCCCACTCTGACTCTGGTGAACCCTCTGACAGCCCCCCCACACACCTGTGGCCTAAACCCTACACACACACACACACTAAAAAAATTCAAAAAATTAAAAAAAAAAACCCACCTTAAATAAATAAATACATAAATAAATCCATTGGGAGACACCCTACTCCACCTCCTATATTCCTGAAAGCTAATCCAGAAGGCCGAACACCCCCCCTAAGAGCTACAAAATCTTAGCTTGACTGTAGTGTTACAAAGGCACAAGGGTCCGAATGTTACATCATGTTCCCTAAACCATCTAAGTTAGATAATTACCTATGATGAGATAATTATCTCACCTTTTCAAGGATTTCTGAAATATTCCCTCTAATAATGACAGAGGCTATTATTCCACATCTCTAAATTTTCCAAATGATTTTAAATAACCCAAGGAGAGTCCCAGACCCACAGGAATGGAAGCCATCTGGTTGGTCAGACCCATGAGAATCAAGGTACCTGGGTCCAAGCTCTTCCACTGTATTCTGTGCAGCTTGTGGCTTAATTTTCACTTTTTCATCTATGAAATGGAGAGGGCAATGCCAGAACTGAGGCTACTAAAGAGCTGACTCATGACCCTCACCATGAGGGAGAACAGTGGCTTGGTAAAGCTCCCTTGCCTTACAAACTCCAGGCCACTTTCAAGCCATCCCAGAGAGTGGATGGAGACTAACGGTACCTCAGCTCCTTCTAAACACCAGTGGTAGAAACTACTAATAGTACAAAGTATATGGAAAGTGAAAAATCTATCATTTCCATCCAATGACATCATTTCTCTGCCCCAGTCCCTAAACACATCCGTTCTATAAATATGCTTTCAAAATACTCACATTTTCACTCATGGTAGTGGCTTTAGATTCAGAATTACTCTTCCTGTTTGTGGAATATAAAAGACAATATTTACTACATTATCGCTTCCCCTTCTGAAACACATATCTTCTTTTAGTTAATATCACCTCCACACAATCTCTCAGCAGGAAGATGAGCCCCGTAGAAAAAAAGCCCACAATCCTCACTGATTTTCTTCTATTTATGTACAATAGTCACAGAGAAAGCCATGCAACAAAATAAGTGTGTGTAAAGCTCTGTGCATCTCATTGTAGCCTGGAGCTGGAACTAAAGACTTTTGTGGTGCAAACCAGAGAATGCCTACCTTAGCAACTTGTTAACATTTCATATTTTTGAAAACGATTATTATAATTATCTCAAATTTCCTATTTTCCTTGGAAAGGAAGCTTTACTTGGTGGCTCCTATCTGAATTGTGTCTCTTCCCCCATTTCTCCAAATTCATACATTAAAGACTCAACCACCAGTACCTCAGAATGTGGCTTTGGAGTTAGGGTCTTTAAAGAAGTAATTAAATTAAAATGAGTCCTATGGATAGGTCTGACTCCAATTTGATGCATGTCTTTCCAAGAAGAGAAAATCTGGACACAGAGATGGAGATGAGAAGGAGGCAGGGCAAAGACCCCCTCTGAGCCAGGAGAGGGGCCAGAAGCAGATCTTTTCTCAAGGTTCCCAGAAGGAACCTGCTTCATCTTGATCCTGGACTTTTGGCCTCCAGAACTATGAAGAAATTATCTTCTGCCACTTAAACCACCCATTCTCTGGCACTTTGTTACAGCATCTCCAGCACACTAGGACAACATCCAATGCATTCCTCACCAAATTTTGGGAGTCATGAGAGATGTGTCTAGGAAAGAAACAATTGCCTCCTAGATCACTGCCTTGGGTAACTAACCTAACCACAGCAATGCCACCCTCTTCTCATATAGAAGATAATGTCCCTCCCAACCCCCTGCTCAAAACTCTCCAATGACTTTCCATCTTACTCAAAATGGAAGCCTCCCATTTGCCTGGGTGGAGAGGGTGTGGTTTCTAGGCCATTGGACTTCTCTACTTTTTTGAGCTCACCCCATTTGCTACTGATAGTCCTGATGACTTGGATCTCATTCTGGACTTGTACTGGGCTGTTATGAAGCTCCTAGACCTGCTTTGGGCAGGAAGGCTGGGAACAGGAAATCAGCAGCAGCTAAGTCTTCAAAAGACATAGATGATAACAAATTATCTGGAGCCACAGCAGTGGAGAGTGGAAGGGAATGCCCAGGGACCACAGCTGGTCTTCCCAGGTATATACATGGAGGGCAGTCACAAATCAGCTGCACAAAAACTGGGGTGGTTGGTTTGGTGATCTCATCTAGTACTCACACCCCAATGACTCTTAGATTTCTAACTCTAGACAAGGTATTACTTCCAACTCCAAATTAATATAAGCAATTACCTATTAATCTCTACCTGAGGTCTTAACAGGCATCTCTAATATTAAAATTCCCAAACACTCCCAACTCTACTTACCCCTCCCCCCACAACAATCCCAAATTTGCACCTTCTGATCTTTCCACACATCAGTAAATGGTAACTCCGTTCTCCAGAAACCTTAGAGTCAATTTGAATTCTCTTATTCTTACCACCCACATCCAATCAATCAGCCGAATGTTAAAAATATTTTCTGAATCCTATTACTTCTCAACATTTCTGCTTTGGTGCCAGATGCCATTTTCTTTTGCTAATTGTTGAGTAGTTTTCTAACTGGTCTCCTTATTCCCGCCATCCTTATTGCCTTATAGTTAGTTCTCAACATGGCAGCCAATGTGATCTTTAAAGAATTAAGTAATATGAATGTACTCTCCTCTCAAACTCCTCCTCCAATGAACCCAACTTACTCAGACCAAAGCCAGTCTCTTCACAACTGCCTAGAAAGGGCTCTATGTGATCAGACCCCCCTGTACTTATGTGCTCTTATCCCCTCTTCCTGCCATCCTCACTCTGTTCCAGCCAAATTGCTACTGTTGATGTTCTTTAGACATATCAGGCTCACCCAGGCTCAGGATCTTTCCATGCATTCTCTTCCTCAGCTGGAACACTCTTCGTGGCTGTCTACTCCAAGGTGATGTGTTTTCTTAGCTCCTTCAGGTCTTTCTCAAATGCCACCTCATCCCTAACCACCCTGTTTAAAAGGACAATCCTATCCCGTGCATTCCTTATCCTTTCCTTGCTTAATTTTTCTCCATGATACTTAATCACAATATGATGTAAGACTATGTGTTTGGTAACTTCCCATGTTTCTTTACTACAATGAAAGCTTCACAAGATAGAGGAGTTTTTTGGACCTCTTCAGTTTTCTGCATTGTCACCAGAGCCTAAGATAGTGTTAAGCACAGAATCGGTTTTCAATGAAATCTAAAAATGACAGTTAAGTAAAATTTTATTTGAAAATTTTCAATCTAGCATGGGTATTTTTTAAAGCAGTACCACAGAAATGCCTACAAAATCAAACCAGTGACTTTCTTTTCTAGGTAATTAAACACATTGACAAGTAGGCACAAGGTGTGAGGTGGGGTGTATTTCTTGATGAACTTGAGTCACATCCCATAGGATATTGACCTATGCAAATGGTAACCCTGCTTCCCACTTTTTACTTTGAATGGGAAATTAACAGAAAATTAGTTGACATGGGTAAAAGGCATGCATTTGAAGAAAGTATACTTACTGGAAGGAGGTTTCTTCTAGAAAAGAATAAGTATATATCATTAATGCAAGAGTTAATATGGTATATACAGATTCATATAAAAGTGAGTTTTGGCCAGATTTCTTGTTCTCAATTTTGATTCTCACTTGGTGACATTTACACCTTCTAAATCAAGGATTGGCAAACTTTTCTGAAAAGGTTCACATGGCAAATATTTTTGGCTTTGTGGTTTAAGAGGATAAATTGATATTACACAGGCACTTATACAATAAAAGAGAAAACATGTTCCCCAAATTTTTATCAATTAAAATCAAAACACAATAATAATAATCAAATCTTATAATACAAGTTACTAATTAAAAGATGGAATACTTTTTTTGGAGGGGATACCTTTCTTTTAATTGGCATTTAAAATTAGTGTTTCCTATTAGTGAATAGATTATAAACGTTCATTTATAAAAACCATTCTTAACCTGCAGGCCCAAGAAAAATAGGTGGCAGGCTGGGTTTGAGTCACAGGCTTGCCAACTCCTGTCTGAAATTTAACTGCAAAAAAATGGTTCTCTTGGATAGATTTTTTTCTGCCACAAGAAATAGAAGCAACATATTTAGCTAATGAACTACTATTACCCAAGTCAAATATTTTAAGGAAAATGTGACTACCAAGTCTTCAAATAAAATCATTGAGACATTCTTTCCGAGTAGAGATAAAGGTAACAAGAATTTTGAAATGAACAATCTGTGTGTACTTTCACTGGTGACCAGCAGAGGGACTCACCCAGATTCCATTCATAAAAGTACATTACACAGGACCAAATTGGCGCAACATATAAAAGAACAACTAGTTTTATTAATTTACAGTGTAGTTATTCTGAATTATAGGGCTATCTTTGAAATCATGTTCATGGCAACATTTTATAACAATATTTATCTATATGCATTATAAACCCTTTTTACATTTAAGTTCTATTTTAATATAAAATATTAAAAAAATCTAAATTCTAAAACAGTATGTCTAAATTTTGCCCATGCTGTAAATGTATTTATTATTCCATTAAAAAAATTCCATTAATACACTATTCTCAGTGGCCTTGATGCAGTTCTGTAGCTTCTGAACTCTTACGTAAATGTGAAGACTGGTTGTAAAGAAATATATTAGGAGACTAAAACAGATTATGCTTTAATTTTACCCATTTAATCAAACTTACTACATTGCCAAATAGAGATCTGGAGATATAAGAGTTCTAAATTTAAATTACTAAAAACCTTGTTCAGAAGCATCTCTAACAGAGTTTCTAGTTTGTAATGAACAGTTCTAAAGACAAGTGTGTTCAATTGAACATTCGACATTCCAAGTTTTAAGCTGATAAAACATTTCACAAATTTCTTTCAATGAAATTTCTTATCAGAAAACTAGAAACTAATTTACATCTTGAGACATACAACTCCTAACTTGAGAGGATCCTAAATACATTAAAATATACTATAAACATCCATCCTCTGTTGAATAGCTGTCAGAGTGGCTTCACTAAGCCACCTCAGGGCGCTTTTCACATATTCTGTGGAGTTTCTGGAATGTTCCATGCAGCAGCTCTGCCTTTCCTCCCTATGTTAGCCAAGGTCCATCAAGACTCACCTGCATATCATCTTCGACATTTTCTACTGCAGAAAAATCAATGAAAAACATTCTCCAGAGTTTGTTAGAACTTAAAAGGAAGTGTCTAAAGAAAATTCTACAACCAGAGGAAGTTGTCCAGTAAAAAAGGGTTAAGTTCACTTACTTGAAAAGTAGCCTTTCCTCTGAGCATAGCACACACCAAGGCCACAGACGGAAATCACTAAAGCCACAACAACTACGGCCGCGATGATGCCGCTCAGGTTCAGATCATCTGGAAGGTAAAGTAAACCCTCCATGAAAGCAGGTCAGTCACCACACTAAAAAAGTTCAAATCAAACGATCCTCTGCAGTCAGAACATAAATAGGGATGTTTCATGTTCTTGAAGCTGTTCTCCTGACTCCCTTTGGGACTTATATCAAAACTGATCAGGAATATCAATCAGCTGAAGTGAGCATTGCAAGAACCTTGCATTTTATTAACTTCTGTGATTTAGGGGGAAAAATGTATGGCATTCCCTTGCATTCATTCAGAGATGGAATCATTCAGAAGTCATGTATCAATTAGTTTGGCAGTGATCTTTGAGATCCAGAGAGTTCAAGTGTTCTGCTCACACACATCTTCAAATTTTACTTGCAATTCTTCTGTTCCAATTTCACAAATAATGTAAAGCTCATTCATAGGCTCAGAAGAAGGCCTATGCCACTGCTGGTCTGTAAAACTGCAAGAAACATCTGGCAGAAACTGATTCATCTTTATAGCAACATTATGAAAATGGCATATCAGTACTTTTATTTTGGGCAGATTGAGGCACAGTGGTTAAACCGCTTACCCAAGAACACGCAGATAGGGAGAGCCTCAATTCAAACCCTCATACCAAATCCATGACCTTGAGCAATTTACCAAACCTTTAGTTTTGTTGGAAAGAATATTAACTTAAATGAGTTTATTTTTAAAACTACTATTTGAAAAATTTAAAAAACTGTAAAATATAATGCTGAATACTATTGGCTTCTTCAGAACATGAATTTAAAACCGCATCTATCAAGCGAACTTTAAATATTTTCCAGATTATCCTTCAAATCATTCAGCCCTTTCCTGCCTCTCACTTCTTCCACCCCAAACACTTGCTCTAACTGCAAACCATTTGTTCTTCCCAGTCTTTCATGCTTACCTACTTGCATTCGTTTTCCAGGACACCTTCGATGTCCTATGGAATTACGGGCTTCACAGGAATATTCTCCACTGTCCAGTTTTGAAACAGTGTTAAATTGCTATTTGTGGAAAGAAAAAATACACTTTTTAAGCAACAAATCTACAAACTGACCCTTAAAATAATGGCGTCCCTTGAATTTTACTGTTAATTTGGTCTTTCCTTTTCGAATCTTAGAGCTTAATCACTTTACTCTGAATTAAAAAATCTGCCACATCTTCAAGGTAGGTCTCCTACTTAATTTGACAGAGAAAGACTTAAAAATATATGGATAAATGCCTTTTGTGTATGTGGCACTGCAAAAGTAGTATGGTTAGGAGGCAGTGGGCATTTTTTAAAGTTGATTGCAATTGATAGTTGAGTCCTCCTTGGCCACAAAAGGCTAATGCACTTTCCGAAACCACATGTGAGTTAACAGCAGCAGCAAAGTAAGTCTTATAGAGTCAGACTTACCTCCTGGAAGTAGCTTAAAGTCTTGGTAAATCTTAATCAAGATAGTTTATAGGATTATGAATTCTACTGGCTGCAAATTTTTTGAAAATTCTGAAAAGATGAAGTCCTACTCTTACTCCTTCCACACCCTGACAAAGCAACTGAAAGACTTTGTTATAATAGGCATCATAATTGTTATTAGTTATTTTATCAGGAAGGCAGGAAGGAGGGAGGGAATCTAGGTGGTTAGATAGATGAAAAAAAAGAAACAAGTTAGGAGAAAGGTAGAAAAGCAGATGGAAGGAGCAAAAGAAGGAAGGAAGGGTGGATGAATGGATGGATGGATGGATGGATGGATGGATGGATGGATAGCTGGGCATAAGGAAGGTCCTTAAAGGATCCTTCCAGGACCATGCAGAGAGTGAAGTGACCTGCTGTCACACCCTAAATACCACATAAGTCACTGGTGGCCACATCCAAGGGAGCCATGAACTTCTAAAGAGCACCTCATTGTGTTAAATCACCACACAATTATTTTCTCCTGTAAACAGCCAGGATTTTGGTCTATTAACTCCTTTACCTCCCTTCCTTTTGTTTACCCACAATTTGCAATCCTCTCCCCTTCCTTTTTTGTATACCTCAACATGATGGCATGGAAAGCTTTTCCTCATTTTCATTTCACTCAATGGACTCATCACTCACCACCCCCCAAAGTCATAAAACTTTAAAATATTCACTGTGGGGCCTCCCTGGTGGTGCAGTGGTTGAGCACCACGCTGCGAAGCTGTCCGCAGCCTCTGCAGCACCGGTTCGATTCCCCACCGGCCAGGGAGAACCCCACATGGAGCAGCAGACCTCTCCTGCCTCGGGACCGCTGCTCCCCTCAGCAGTGTCTTTGCTCCATCTGACTGTTCTGCTCCCCGCTCTGGCTCTGGTGAATTCTCTCACCCTCCCGCGCTTCTGACCTATACCCCAGTTCTTGTATAAAATAAATAAATAAATCTTTAAAAAAAAATTCACCATGAACTCAGGCCAACAATAAGCTTGACTGAGACCAAAAAACGATCTTCTGGCATGTCATAGCTGGTAATTAAAAGGAAGTCATTAGTTAGACACTGGAGTCTTTGTTTGCTCTTTTCTCAGAAAATGACCCATCCTAGTTCTGCCCTGGTACATTCATTTGACATCACAAGATATTTCAAGGGTTGAGGCAAACTGAGGAAAGTGAATCTATATCTTTTCAGACTTGCCTTGGGGCTTTATCACCTGCTCTGAGAAAAAATAAATTTGAAAGTAAATATAGCAAAGTGTGACGGCAGGTTTTCTGCCCAGTTGCTCAGTGTAAAATCACTGGACCTGCTGACTGATGCTGCTGGTGCTCAGAGGGCCGGAGCATGGCCTTCCTCAGGGAGGAGCCGCAGCCATGACAAAACTTATTATTGAATCACTTTATCACAATGCTGTATTATTTATTCACCAGAGCATCTAGTTTTGCGTGTTATTATGTGTTTGTATATGGGAGGAATGACTGGAAACATCATGGCCTCCTACTGAAATTATTATACCTTTAACATTCTTGGACAGTGGCTGTGTTGGTGATTCTGCATTTTTAGAAATTAGACTTTTTTTTTTTTTTTTTTGGTAGGACCCTCGTGAGCTCGGCCGGGGAATGAACCGGCGCCGCAGAGGCTGCGGGCAGCCTCGCAGCCCAGAGCTCAACCTCTGCGCCACCAGGGGAGGCCCAGAAATTAGACATTTTTAAGCTGATGGGTTATATATTAATTTGATTTTTTGAAAAAAAACTTCAGTGATTTTTTTGGTTCCCATCTCTACCATGAAATGTCAGATAAAAATGTCAAAATATTTTTAATTTTAAATGTCATTGACTTTATTTATTTAAAAAAATTTTTTAATTGGGGGAACATTGGTTTAGAACACTATTTGTGTTTTAGAAGTATGAGATCTCCCCCCGCTAAGGTGTCACACTGCACCCTTCATCAAAACACCCACAGTCCATGCTGCTCTATCTCTTGTTCTTTTTTTTAAATATTTATTTATGCATATAAGAACTGGGGTACAGGCTAAGGTGTAGGGGTGGTGAGAGGATTCACCAGAGACAGAGAGCAGAACAAGCGGATCTACTGAAAAACACTGCTGACGGGAGCAGCTGGCGAGGCAGGAGAGGTCTGCTGCGCCATGTGGGTCAGCTCCCTGGCTGGGATTGAACTTGTGCTGCAGTGGCTGTGGATAGCTTCATAGTGTTGCGTCTTAACCCCTTGTGCCACAGAGAGGCCCCATTTGTTATTGCTGCTCCCCTCCCCTTCTCACTTTGAGAGCTGCAGTTCCATAGTCAGCTTTTGTTGTTACTTTGGCTTTATCTAAGTTTTGTTTGGTTTCTTTATATTCCACTTAATAAGTAACACCATCTGGTGTTTGTCTTTCTCTTTCTGACTTCTTTCATTTAGCATAATCCCTTCCAGCTCCACCCACATTGCTGCAAATGGCAAGAATTTAACTTTTTTTGATAGCTGAGTAATATTTCATTATATATACCACATCTGCCTGATTCACTCATCTGTATTTGGGCACTTAGGCTGTTTCCATGGCTTGGCTACTGTAAACATCACTGACTTTAAAGAGGCTTATTTAGAAGTTCCCATCACTTCCTAGAAAGGCTTTTCTTTCTTTTTTTTTTTTAAGGATTTATTTTATTTGTTTATGCATACAAGAACTGGGGTGTAGGCCAGAGGAGAGGGGTGGGTATGAGAGGATTCACCAGACACAGAGTGGGGAGCAGTATTTCTACTGAAATACATTGCTGAGGGGAGCAGCAGGGGAGACAGAAGAGATGTGCTATGCCTTGTGGGTTAGCTCCCCGCCCCCCAGGAGGATCGAATGGCTGGCAATAGCTTGATAGTGCTGAGACTTAACCCTTGCGCCACCAGGGAAACCCCTCCTGGAAAGACATTTCAGGGCCTCCCCGGTGGCGCAGCAGGTTGAGTGCCACGCTGCGAAGCTGTCTGCAGTCTCTGCAGCACTGGTTCAATTCCCCACCGGCCAGGGGGAGACCCACATGGCATGGCAGACCTCTCCTGCCTCTCCCGCAGCAGTGTCTTCGGTCCGTCTGCCTGTTCTGCTCCCTGCTCTGTCTCTGGTGAATTCTCTCACCCTCCCGCGCTTCTGGCCTGTATCCCAGTTCTTGTATAAATAAATAAATAAATCTTAAAAAAAAGAAAGAAAAAAAGAAAGACATTTCAATTGAGATATTTTCAAGGGCAGACAATCAGAAGATCTGGACTAAATCTAAAATAACAGAAACTCAAGTCATGGCATCCATTGTTGGTGATCCAGTTATGACAAAGCTTAATGGCACAGCTGTCCTATCACAGGTTGTCCATAGTCACTATTTATGTGGCTGACGCTGGAGTCAGGGCAGCCCCAAGAGAGCATGTATACATTTCCCAGAGTTTATAAATATGACACTGCACTCAGTACTTTCCAGTCCAAGATGGCGGCTGGAATGCACTCCTGGTCCATCATCATGACAAACTTGGCTGCTTTTGGTCACCAGTGTAGACTTCTGTGTGCTCAGTTCCCTGGCTCTGTTTTGTCTTCCCTCATCTAGTAGCTGCCCTTTCCAACACCTCGCTATGCAGACCACATTTGTCCTGTTGGATCCTCCTCTTTCCATTTAATAAGCAATGGTACCAGCCCTCTAGTCGCCATCATGTTAGTTCAAATATGATTTTTCCCCTCCACATACAAGCTAGTTACCAGGCCAATGCTTGACGTAAGCTTACCAGAGTTCCAGATTTTGTATTCATTGTGTATGAGCTGTTGGGGCTTTGGGTGCTGAGTTTTGAATTTGCCAGCAAACGGACGCCATTCTTAAACCAGGTGTATTCAGGAGCTGGGTTCCCTTCTTTGTCGTGACATCGTAGTTCCACCACTGTTCCACTCAGAGCAGAATTTGGTACTTCACATGACGGAACAGCTGGAGCCACTGAAGGGTGGAAGTCAAGTGGTATTGATTATTTATTTTTTAAAGATTTATTTATTGATGCATACAAGAGCTAGGATACAGGCCAGAGGTTCAGGGGTGAGAGGATTCACCAGAGACAGAGTGGGGAGCAGAATAGGCAGATCTACTGAAATACACTGCTGAGGGGAGTAGCGGGTGAGACAGGAGAGGTCTGCTGCACATGTGGGTCAGCTCCCTGACCAGGGATCAAACTCGTGCTGCAGTAGCTGCAGACAGTTTCATAGTGCTACATCTTACCCCCTTGCGCCACCAGGGATTATTGGTATTGATTATTTATAAGCTGAGTAGGGACTTGAACAGTCCTGTAAATTGGACTTGTTGGACAGCTGTGCTAAAGATTGGTTCCTTATTCAAGAGACCCATTTCCTTTCCACATGGACATACTAGATGGCATTTGCAGTCCCCTGGATGCCAGATGGGATCTTGTGCATGAGTTTTGGCCAATAGGACATGGGGAAAAATGACATATATGCCATTTCTAGACCTGATTCATAACACCTTCTTCGGTGATTCTCATTCATTCACCGTCTCTACCCCTCCCCACTACTGAGTAGATATCAATACCCAGGGTGTCCTTTGAAGGCCATGATTTAAGATGCCAGACCTATAATAAGTTGGGTTTCTAATGAAGTAGAATAATATAGCTCCACTGCTACAAATTCTGCCCCAACTATTCAGACTTTAATTGCATGAGAAAGAAATTTCTATGATATTAAGACACTCCCTGAGCATACAGGGTTTTTGTTATAATAGCATTCTTTTAGTTAAAAACACAGCTATTCATTTTTAGAAAAAATGGTCTCTACTTTTCCCCTCACCCATGATTTTAATGTTTCATTTGCCACTATATTCAAAAGGAGTCAAACTTAAAATACAATTTTCTTGTCCCATATTTATACTAAAATCCCATCATATCTAGCACTATCCAATTTAGAGGATAACTAAGTTAGGATTAGTTTGGTCTCAGGTATTTGTGAAATAAACCAGACTTGACTAGGTGATAACTGGTGAGAGCAGGATATAGAATTCTCAGATGGCTCTCCAAGTTCATGGCCTTGGTATGTATACACTTTCAGTTATTCAATCAAATACTAAATGAGATACTACTCTGAAGGAATTAGGGGATGTAATTAAGGTACTTAGTCCACGACCTTTAAGACACAGAAGTGGCATAGATGGGTTTGATCTAATCCTTTGAAAGGAGTTTTCTCTGGCTGGTCACAGCAGGGAAAGCCAGAGGTTCAAAGCACAAGACTATCTGACATGTTTTTGTTGGACTGCAGATGGAAAGAACCACATGGCAAGAATGTGGGTGGCTCCAGGAGTCAAATGTGGCCCCCAGTTCACAGCCAGTATGGAATGGGACCTCAGATCTACAACCACCAGGAAGTAATATCTGCCAATGACAAGCATGAGGTTGGCCACAGACTTTCCTCCTGTGCTTTAAGACAAAAATTGAGCCCAGTTGACACTTCAACCTTGTGATAGCCACGACAGAGGACTTCAATCATGCAGGACTGCTGATCTGTAGACCTGCCAGCTAATTTCACGCAACAAATTTTGTAAGCATTTGTTATATAGCAACAAAAGAGCATTTGTTATACAGCAGCAAAAGCTGGGCCTCCTGTAGGGCTTTCTGAATTAAATTGCTTCTAACTACTGCATTACCAGTATTTAGAAAGAGCCCTGGATTATACAGAAAAAAAGGAGAGGAGTCATCTCATTCTATTTTCTTGGTTCTTTGTACTAACATCTCTAGAGAAGACAATCATGTGCCCAACCAATTGTCATGCTGAGCTGTTAATATCTATCAATGATTCTTGCAGTAACCAAACATATTCACCTTGGAGTGAAATCTTTCACTTTCAAATCCTGGTCCAGATACTTTCTAGCTGTGTAGGCTTCAGAAAAGTCATTTAACTGCTATTTCCCTAATAGTAAAAATCAGGTTGTCAATGAAGATTAAAATTACATATGTGAAAGGCTCTAGCAATTACAAGATGTACATTGCTAATTTCTTTTCTTTACCAAATGACATCTAATACTTTTTCCGTTCTATTTTTTTGATTTTCTGCTTTTTTTTCTCCTCTCATGTTTATTTTTATATGGAAGGAGAAATACTGCATATGCTGCATAAGCTACTGAAAAACAAACTCTTGGGGAAAATGCTCCTATCGCAAAGTGGAACTATTAAGTTTATTTCATTCTTGAGTGGATAGAAATTTTGTGACAATGAATTAGTAATAGCAGAAATTCAGTAACTAATGAGATAAGGGGGAGCAACAGACAAGAGCTTCATGGAAGGGGTGCTGGACGCTTTACTCATTTGGGGTCCGGAGTTGCTTCACTGCTCCCAGGGCTGGGGGGTTGACAATGGGGAGCAGTAATCACAGAGATATAAACACATCACCTAAAACTTCCAGTGTGACTGTGTCCTCTTCCAGATTTTGACCTTGCTCGGATGGAGCGCTAACTTCACAACGGTACTTTCCTGCATCATTTCTGGTAACATTTTTGATCCGGATACTGAAATCTATCATCTCCGCCCGATCTTTAAAATCACCTTTCAGATAAAAAAGACAATGATGTTAATAATGATGCAAGTAATTCTCTATATGCCAGTTGACCCTGAAACAACCTGATTTTGAACCATTTGGGTCCTCTTATAGGTGGGTTTTTTTCTAGCCATGGATACTGCATTCCTGGATTCAACCAAACTAGTGGTTTTCTTATTAATTAAGTTGACTTTAAAGCTTCCAAATTGTGTGTGGGTGCTATTTCAAGTTTCTTTCTTTTTTTTGTTGTTGTTTTTCCAATAAAAAAATTAATCAAGGGGATAATTTGAGTTTTTAGAGGCTTGGTTTTAGTAATGTCCATTCCATATTCCCATATTTTAAGAAATCTAGCCCTTATTCCTGCCTCATCCCCTTTCCAGTACCTTTGTAAAAATATTCCTGTTTTCAAAAGATACGAAGAACGTAGTTTAATTAGCACAAGCAGTAATTTTAATGCAGGCACAACAGAAAAGGTGAGGGAGTATTAAAAATATTCTTTTGGCTAATTTTTGATAGACATGTGTATGGAAGTAAAATAATGTTTTGTATAAGCCTTAAATGCCAGAATTGGCAATGGCAGAAAATTCAAGTAAAGGCAGCTGAAGCCTATAGCCTTATCTTAAATGGATTAAAAACCAGGAGGCTATTTTACATATTTTATGGACTTTAAACATTTGGTTTTTTTTAATTTTTTAAAATTAAATCCATAATACTAAAAAATTAAAATGTTTATTGTACTTGTTACATTATATTTCCAACTTTCAAAATATTTATAATGGAAAAATTCAAGCATACACAGAATTAGAGACATAGTAAAATGAACCTTAACATACGCACCACCAGCTGCAACAGTAATCAACGCATCTTTACATCTAACCACTGGATTATTTTAAGGCATATTCTAGACATCTTATCTTATCCATCATTAGTAACACTTTAAAGCTCACCACATATTCAAGAGGAAGAGTGACAAGAAGAAATACATAACAAATTAAAAAAAAAAGCACTGAATAAAAGTAGTTGCATTTACCCCCACCCCCCACCCTCAATCCCCACAACCCCCCAGTCTTTATTCCCTCCTGAGCTTCTCAGCAATGGTTACCCTTCCTGATGGAGATATGGAAATAGCGTGACGTCATTACAACTGAGACTGAGCATCCATCCCCAGATCACATCATCTTTTCTTCTTTCTCAAGAGTTTGATCTATTAGATCAGCTGAAGGCCCCAGTACTCAATGGATTTCATCTACTTCCATTCTCTGTCCTATTTTCATGGTTGCTGTGTCCCAGGTCTCAGTCACTGTTGGTTTCATCTCACACTTACAAAAACACAATTTCAAAAATCAGCCATGTCCTGTTGGCTTTTGTATAAAAGATCGGGCTGTACTTGTTCTCCAGCATTTCACCTCATCAGGTCTACAGCTTCTTACCTTGAAGGGCCTGTTGGTAGTAGACAAAGGAGACACTCCGTCCCAGCTTCTTCCACTCCAATCTGGAGGAAGTGGTCTTCTTTGGGTATTTACAGGCTAAAATAACCTCTAGGAACAACAACAAAAACACTTATTTTCTCACTGTCTCTAAAATTATATTGGATTTTACTAAGTAACAAAATTTTAAGCATACTTAAATTTTTCCTTTATGTTTGTATTTATTCATTTATTCATGCATAATTTATAAATTATTTCAATGGGTACCATGTTGGGTTAGCCCAAAGATGAAGTAGCAGCACTATAGCTCTTCCATATAATAATTGTCTGACTCTGGTACTTATTTCTGGTTACCTAGTTCTTGAAGCTCAGTTACCATCTGCAAAATAAGATAATATCACATAGAGTTGTCGTGAGTCTTCAAATACAATAATATGTGCAAAGCACACAAGCCTGGGCACAATTTAAATTTTTAAAATGGCAGCTATGATCAATTATCTTATTCTACAAAGTCTCAGTCTTCAAAGAGTTGAGTCTGGTGGCAAATGAGATAATGTAATGTTAGTCCAACATAACGAAGTGTAGGATGGGGGTGATCAGAGAAATCTTCATATGTAGAGCCTCATGAGGCACTTAGTCCAGCCCAGGTCATACAGTGGAATCCACCAACATTCCGTAAATCTGCTACACTCTTACTCAGATCCCTTTTTTGATAACCCTCTCTCCAAATACATTGATACAAACACAATATGGGCTTCTAATAAATTGTTGATTCCTATTCTATAACTCAATCCAGATACATTATTGAAAGATTGAATCTAGGGCCTCCCCTGTGGCGCAGCGGTTGAGCGCTGGGTTGCGAAGCTGCCCCGCATCCTCTGCTGCGCTGGTTCGATACCCGGCGGCTTCTGCGCCGCCACCGGAGGAGGGTCCTGCATGGCGCGCAGACCTCTCCTGCTGCCCGCTGCTCCCCTCAGCAGTGTACTTCGGTCCTTCTGCCTGTTCTGCTCCCCGCTCTGGCTCTGGTGAATTCTCTCAACCTCCCGCGCTTCTGACTGTACCCAGTGCTTGTATAATAAATACATAAATAAATAAATAAATCTTAAATAATAAAAATAAAAATTAAATGCACTCTCTTTAAAAAAAAAAAAAGAATGATTGAATCTTGGCATCAAGTTTAAAGCCTCAAGTTCACTTTAGCACAGGAAATTTTCTGCAGTTACATCATTAAAGAATTCCCTCTCTTTTTAGCGTCCAAACTAGATGACTGTGTGTGTGTGTGTGTGTGTGTGTGAGTGTGCGTGTGTGTGTGTGTGTGTCTGTGTGTTGGGAGTGGGGTTGGGGGAGAACTCGATGCCTGTCCACCAGTTGTTTTAAGTTGCTAAATGGTAATCTCCAGTTATATAATTTTATTTATTTTTTAAAGATTTTATATAATTTTAAAAATGTGTTTCAACTTGGTTCTTTACTTTCAGTTTCATATACCTGAGACTTTCATTTACCTCCAATGCATAATTATAGTATCTTGGACTAGAAGTTATGTAAAAATCTATTCCATACCACTAATTTTAATGTTAAGCAGATTTAATGCCATTTTTGAAAGAATTTGGGACACTACATGATATGGTAGATTAGAGAGAAATACTTATACTGTTACCCCAGATTTCATTAACAGCATACACATACATATGGACAAAAAGCCAGTAGGAATATGCATGAGAATATTAACCCTTCCAGGATTTTGATGTGATAGAATTATGATTTTTCTTTTTGTTAAATGGGATTCTATTTTCTTTTTCTTTTACACACATACTGCTTGAAATACATAAATAGAATAAAAAGTAATGGAAAAATAGAAAGGAGAACAGAGAAAAGAAAGACGAGGGGGAAAAAAAAACCTAAAATGTTGTTTTTAAAGATGCCTAAAGTTTTTAAAGGAGATTTTACATTAGAAAGAGACATCATTTTACAGACATGTTTACAATTATGCTCAAAGACAAATGTGTGCTGAGGGACTTGTCTGAGGAAACACGATTCTGTTCTGTTGATTAAGGAGAATGGGTGGTGACTTTCCGGAGTCTTAAGTTTTAGATAGGTTTCCTTCCCGTATTTTGTTGAGTTTCCAACAAATACACGCCCACACTCATTTTTAACCCATACTCCTAGGTTTCAGGAATAAGCTTTTACTCAAAAAATCATGTTGTTTCATAAATTTAACCAGACACAACACACACATACTCACATTCACACAATCTTTCTGGTGAATTCTTTCTAATTTCTGTCCCCATTACTCTATGGAAAGAAAGGTAACAATGGTCTAAGTACCGTGGCTCTCCAACCTCACTCACCCTGACCATTTAAAATTTGGAGAAACGGTCTACCCAATTTGCCCAAAATTATTGCGTATTTACTGTGTGCCTGGCCTTGTTCTTAGATTATATCAGTGAGTAACATAAAAACCCCTGCCATTGTGAATTTTACACACTAGAGGGACACTAGGAAACAAGAAACTCCAGAAAGTGAATTGTTTATTATGTCAGGAAATGATGAGCGCTACAGAAATAAATAAGAGTAGAGCAGAGTACAGTACACTGAGAAGCGCTGGGGGTTAGTAGGGCAGCTAGAGTTCCTCTCATTTAGAAGGGGACATTTGACTCAGAACTCAAAAGAAGGAATTAGAATTCTTTAGAAATAAACTTAGAATTCATTGAAATTCGAATTCGGAATTCACCACATGGGCCGTTGGGATTGTTCCACGAAGGGAAAGCTGATACCTAGACCCTAGGATACCAACACCTTGACCTCTAGAATTGTGAGAAACAGTAAAATGATTGGAATTGTGGGGTCAGCAACAGAGGATAAAGATCAGTGAACTTGGAAGCTGATCACCATGTTACTCCTCTGTTCAGCCTAGTCAACCCCCATAGCCAGCATCATTCTCTGTGTCCAGCCCTCAGGGTGATGACGCCATAATGCAGTAGTTTGAAGCCCAGTTTTGGAGTTAGACCTCTTCCATTTAGTAGGTGAGAAGATTCACCAGAGACAGAGTGGGGAGCAGAACAGGCAGATCTACTGAAATACATTGCTGAGGGGCGAGGCAGGAGAGGTCTGCTGTGCCATGTGGGTAGCTCCCTGGCCAGCCGGGAACCAAACTTGTGCTGCAGAGGCTGTGGATAGTTTCAGAGTGCTGTGCTTAACCCCTTGCACCACCAGGGAGGCCCAGTAGGTGTGAATTTAGATGAATTATTTAACTTCTTTTGGGCAAAGACAAAGAATAACAGTACTCATCACACAAAGTTGTAAAGATCAATCCAGATAAGGCAATTACACACTTGAGTGAGGGAACAGGGTGCTTTGTCTATGGTCTGTGTCCTTTAAGTCATCATGATTACTTTTACTTACAAGGAACTTCTCTGTTGTAATTATAAGCTGGCCTTGACATGATTGGAATCCCTATTTTATACCCTCACATATGTACCTAAAATCACTCAAATTTGAACTAAAATGGCATCTCTGTTTGAGACAGCAAGGAGTAAAATAAGCCATATTTTCTCAAAACAAATACATTAAAAGAACGAAATGCACCATTTTTCTATTAAGATGACAGCATTACCAAAACTATATTTTATTTGGACTGAGAAAAGGTAATTTTTTGTTTAGAAAAAGCATTAGCAACAACACATAGCAAAATAATCACCTATAGGGATCACATAAATGAAATTGTTGTGAATTTTAATTTTTCTAGGATTCTGTACTGCTGCTGGCCTTTGGCTTTTACTCTCTGTGCTCAAGTTAAAAATTATCAAAATCTTAAATGATGCAAGAAAAGAATTGATACTATCAAAATAGTTCTAAAGAATTATCAACGATCACTTCTGTAGAGAAAAGGATGCTGTTAGATGATTTCCTGCTCTCAAGTCTGACTGCTGCCCGCATAAGGCTGTTAATTTAATTTATAAGCCTGGCAGAGGTGCCCTCATTGTAGTCTTATTCTGCTCTGGGCACAGGAGGGGAAGAGGAGCAGGACAGCAACACCTACAGGAAGGATTTAATTCACTATTTCCTGATGTCAGAGATAGAAGAGACAAAAGACTGAATAAATGTGGTGGACCACACATACGTACATACACAAATCGTAAAGTATTTTAGGCATTTAGTACGATGAAAGATACTTAAAAAAAAGATACTTTACTGCATACAGTATCCCAAAACTGGGCCTCCCTGGTGGCACAAGGGGTTAAGATGCAACCTGCAGCCTCTCCAGCATGAGTTCAATCCCTGGCAGGCCAGGGAGCTACACACACGGCACAGCAGACCTCTCCTGACTCACGGGCTGCTCCCCTCAGCAGTGTATTTCAGCCACACTGCCTGTTCTGTTCCCCACTCTGTCTCTGGTGAATTCTCTCAACCCCCCCCCCATACCTCTGGCCTGTACCCCAGCCTTTGTATAAAAATGAATAGATCTTTAAAAAAAATTAAATTAAATTATAAATAAATAAATAAATCTTTAAAAAATAAAAAAATAAAAAATAAATAAAATAAAGTATCCCAAAACTAAAATTTAAGGTAAGAAATTAATTTTGTTTTATGGAGAGCCAACTTAGAGTGATTGGAAAATTACGTGGAAATTTTCATATAATATATAAACATAAAGTATAGTTGAAAATGTAATTCTCTATTAAAAGGAGATAGAAATGGAAATAGAAATATAAAATGGCCACTCATTATAAACATTTTCTACATTAAAAATAAAATTATAAAATATAAAAATATAAAATATAAAAATTTTTTACATTAAAAAGTAATGTAGGGCCTCCCCTGGCGGTGCAGCGGTTGAGCGCTGGCCTGCGAGGCTGCCCACAGCCTCTGCAGCGCCGGTTCGTTCCCCGGCTGCTGGCGAGGGTCCCACAAAAAAAAAAAAAAAAAGTAATGTAAATTATATAATGGGGTTTTATTCCTGGAGGAATGGGGGGGAATATTCTACAACAAATAGAGGAGATAGTTGTAGATCACTGGGAATGTATTAAATACCACTGAATTGTTTAAAGTATGGGTTTTATGTTATGTGAATTTCACCTCAAAAAATGCTTTAAAAATTAATGTAAGACCAAAGAATATACATTTGATGTCTTAATTCAGATATCATTGCATAGCAATCTGGGAAGCAGCAATGTTTGAAGGTATGTCCAGGTTGTTGGATTTAACAGTAAGAACTTCCAGAAAAGGAAGTCGAAGAAACTAACCTCACTTCCTTTACCCCCAAGGACATACTGACCCATCTTTTCCTCTCCCACCCACCCTGCTCCCTTTCATGGCTGTCCAGTCTCTTCTTTGGAATCATGCCCACTCCGATTTGTCCTCCCTGTAAGTACTCCATAGTGCCAACTACTCCCTTCATTAATTTCCTCTACCCACTTCTCCTCATTTAAAACTATTTCATTATAAAGAGTGATGGTCTTATTAGCTTAATCATGGAAAATATTAGGATTGAAACTAGCTAACATTAATATTTAAGCAATTTCTTATTAAGTGATTTCTTATTTTTTGACAGGCTGATTCTGCTGATAGCACTTTTTTTTTTTTTAATAGAAGCATGTTTTTTATTTATTTGTTTGTTTGTTTGTTTGTTTGTTTTGTTTATACAAGCACTGGGTACAGTCAGAAGCGTGGGAGGGTGAGAGAATTCACCAGAGCCAGAGCGGGGAGCAGAGCAGGCAGAAGGACCGAAGTACACTGCTGAGGGGAGCAGCGGGCGGCAGGAGAGGTCTGCGCGCCATGTGGGATTCTCCTCTGGTGGCCGGGGAGCAGCCGGGGATCGAACCGGCACCGCAGAGGCCGCGGGCAGCTTCGCAACCCAGCATTCAACCGCTGTGCCACCGGGGAGGCCCCTGATAGCACATTTTTATAAACAAGCACATATAAGACTTACTGTGTGTCAGACACTATTTGTAAGCACTGGTTAAATGCTATTTCATAGAATTCCTCCTCACCCTAGTCCTCTTCTATACCCTTGTTTCTTTCTTCAAATCTATCCTTCTGCAATTCCAGGAACCTAACACATGCCTGAAGAAGAGGATCTGTTTATTGTTTACACTCTCCAGCCTAAAGAAGTATTGCGTTTAAGTAATAGTAATTTTTCTGGTTGCCTAGTATAATTAACTGTATTCTAGTAAAAGATCCTTCAGAAAAGGGGCCTCCCTGGCGGCCTCCCTGGTTGAGCACCACACTGTGAAGCTGTCCGCAGCCTCTGCAGTGCAGGTTTGATCCCAGCCAGCCAGCCGGCAAGAATCCCACATGGCGCGGCAGACCTCTCCTGTCTCACCCTCTGCTCCCCTCAGCAGTGCATTTCGTCAGTCTGCCTGTTCTGTACCCCGCTCTGTCTCTGGTGAATCCTCTCACCCTCATGCACATCTGGTCTGTATCCCAGCACTTGTATTTAAAAAAAAAAAAAAAAAAAGATCCTTCAGAAAAATAGTAGTTCCCATTTGAAGGGAACTTATAAAAGCTCTTATTTTTTTTTGGCTATTAGGCATTTTTAACAATATTTTCATCATGGTAAACTACATAAAACTGAAAAATTGCCATCTTAGTCGCTTTCACTGATCACTTCAGTCAAGTACATTCACGTTGTTGGACAGCCAATCTTCAGAAGTTTTCCATCTTGTAAAACTGAGAACTTGTACCCATCAAACATCAACTGGCTCTTGTAAGAATTTCTAGGAAGCTAAAATAAGTAACAGAATGGAATGCCCACATAGGCTACACTATCATCTCAAATATGAAGAGTGGATTTCAGAAGTGGTTTCCATTTGCCCTAGCTAGTTGGCTGGAAACTTGGCAAGACTTTTATCACCCAGTTCCGCAAGTTAGATTTGCTTTGTGCATAATTTATGAAGGAAGAAACCGTCTTTGTACATCAGGTCTTTCGTTGAATGTCCAAAATTTCCACAGGGGAGGCGGAGAAGAATTTTCAAGGTGGGGACAACAAGGAGTGGCATTCCTGGCAGAGGATTCAAGGTGAGGTAGGTGAGGCTGAGGCATGTACTGATGTCATCACAAAGTTTATCCTTGTGAGTCATTTAAGCAATGAGGTCCATGAAAATCAGTAAGGTACTCTACCTTGATACTCTATTGCTGTGACTACTTGATGGTCTTTTGGGGCAGAGACTCCATAGGCCTTATGATCTGAAAGATTAAATATAAAATAATTAATATTGTGCAACAGGCCATCTTTAAATGTTTGACAGGATGCAATAAAAAGTAAACTGTCCAAAAGTTGGGGGGTAGTTTCACACAATTCATAATATAAACTTAAAAGTTGATGTTTTCATCAAGGCAAAAATTGCCTATCTGTGGCATTGTCCTGCAGACACTTTGTCAGTCTTCTGTCATACTTAATCTCTCTATGCTATCTGACAGTCTCTATGACTCCCTTGGATTCTGGGACATGACTTTCTCCTACTTTTCATTCTGCCTTCCTTGTGACTTCTTCCTCTTTGTTCCATCCATCCATCCATCCATCCATCCATCCATCCATCCATCCATCCACCCATCCATCCATCCAGAAACCCTTTTCTATATAATTTTTAAACTTCACTGACTCAACTATCATTTATTTGCTGAAAATTCTAAATATGTATCTCCAACTCTCATTATATCCATAAACTCCTTTTTCTGTGAGGTATCTAGATCTACATTTCTTATAAGCACCACAAACTCATGGCCAAAAATGAACCTTGCTTGCTCCTGAACTTTGTTTTTTTCCTATAATTTTCATTCCATAAAAATACCACAATCCGTATGCTCCCTCATGTCAGAAAATCAGGCATTGCCCAAGATGTATCCATTACTCATTCGTTTCCATCAATAGATGGTGACTTGTATGTCGTCTAGGACAATAATTCCACCTTTTTTGTCCTCCCCCACCTTCATGTAGCCAAATGCTCTTTCCCTCTGGGAGAGGGTGTTGTAGGCAAAACCAGAAAGAAAAGCAGGTTACTTCCTGCCTTTCCACAATTAGAACTTCTGGTCATTAAAAAGATATAAAAAGGCCATGGTTTGGGAAAACATTTGAGAGAAACCATCATGAGTAAATACGCCTTCTGGCTCCAGAGACAGGTAGAGAAAAGAGATTTGCAGAATATGGACCTTAGTGGACTTTTAAAAAAGAACAATAGCATTTATTAGGCATTTAATAAGCATTAGGGAAGGAACATTCTCAGTGCTTACCAGCATTAACTCATTTCACTCTTACAACAATTTTCTGTTATGGGGTACCATTTTGATCCACATCTTTTTTTCCAGTGGAGAAACTAAGGCATAGAGTGGATTAAAAAAACTTAGCCAAGGTTATGCAAATAATAAGTGCTTAAGTTGAAGTTTCACTCATTCAGTCTGTACCCAATGCCCATGTGGGTCATTCTGGTACTATACCAGACTCCACATCATGTTCCCCAAGGCTAAACTTTGAGGAAGGACTTGGGTTAACAAAGATGCCAGGTGCAAAGAGCCACTGATATAATGAAGATGGGATAGGTTTGAGAAATTGGTGGTCATAACAAAGGCAAAGGAGTGACTCCAGGACAGCAGGAAGGTGGAAACCAGAGAAACTCCAGTCTGTGTCTGGAGAAATAGGATACCTTGAAGAGAGATGCAGACAAGGGTTTCTCTGTCATGACACCATCAACGTTTGGGGACAGATCATTGCTCTGGGAGATTGTCCCGTACATTGTAGGATGCTTTGTTGGATCTCTGGCTTCTACCCACCAGCTGTTACTAGCATCCATGCACCCCCACCTCCTCCCCAAGTCCTGACAACCAAAAATGTTTGCAGATATTCCTGTATCTAAGGATCTAAGCGTGAGTGTATGAATCATACCTGATTTAGAAACACTGGCCTATACTTAAAGCTAGATTGGTTTGAAGTATCAGGAACAGAAATAAATACACTACAGGGAAGCAAAACCCTATGATTTCCAGGATTTTGAAAGTTCCAATAAATCAGAATAATCTTATAGGATAACCATGAATTAATTTATTATGAGAGTCTTTCATATGACATGGTTCTTTTTCTCTGATTTATTTACCTATATGTACTCTGACACATAAATAGAATAGTATGTATTCTACATATTTTTTTCCCTTTTCCCTCTCCTTTAGAAATTTGGACAGCAAATAAAATTGTGAAATTAAAATCTCAAAACTCGGGCCTCCCTGCTGGTGCAAGCAGTTAAGCACCACACTATGAAGCAATCCACAGCCTCTGCAGCACGAATTCGATCGCCAGCCGGTCAGAAAGAAACCCACATGGCGCAGCAGACCTCTCCTGACTCACCCGCTGCTCCCCTCAGCAGTGTGTTTCAGTCAGTCTGCCTGTTCTGCTCCCCACTCTGTCTCTGGTGAATCCTCTTACTCCCCCTCATCTCTGGCCTGTACCCCAGCTCTTCTATGCATAAATAAATCTTTAAAAAAAAAAAAAATCTCAAAACTCTACAGGCTTTAAAGTTCCCTTGCCGAATATTGTTAAACTCTTCAGATTTTATATCCCTACACCTAAAACACATCATTAGGGAAACCAGCAAACAGGTGAAGATATAGGACTAAACGAATCCTTTTTATTGGCGATCTATGAATACATTTATATAAAGTAGTGATCCATGTGCCTTAGTCTTAGAGAAGTATCAGGGCTTCCAAAGAGTCATTTCAAAATATAGTTGACTCTTGAACAACATGTGTTTGAACTATGCAATTCCATGTATACATAGATTGTTTCAGTAAATATATTGGGGAAAAAACTGGAAACTGCCAATAATTTAAAAAACTTGCAAATAAATCACATCACCTAGAAATATTAGTTACCAAAATGAGTGGGATTTCTTGGGATTTTTAAGCTATTTTAGTACACTTTTAGACAAAAAAATAAAGACTCATATTCCCTAGAAACCAGTTGAGGGGAAAATCTGGGCAAAGTAGGAAAAAATAATGTTTGTTCCCTCCACATCATCATATCTTTGAACTTTTCAAACATTGCACTACCCACTGAGAATGTTTATTTTCTTCAGTATGCTTTGAATCTTCTTCCATTTTTGAGGCAAACTTCAGTCCAGTCTCAGACTGGAAGATGTAGTTGAATCATTTACCCCCTTTCATAGTTCTAGTTTTCTACTTGCTTGAACTTCCTTTGAGGAAGTGTTCTTAAATCTTCAAAAATCACTCTAAAAGTAAATGTAAAACAGCAGCTGTTAACTTCAAGAATTTTATTTTTTCCTCTTAGCTTTCATATCTATATACCTGAATAGAAAAAAAATGTGTCCCAGACACTGAAGAAAAAAAAAAAAGAACTGTTTGAATTGGCAAAACCATGAAGGCAAAAAAAAAAAGAATAGACATTAGTTGTTAAAAATTAATAAATAGGTAGTATTTCTTGATAGCTGACTGTTCTTCTATAACCTTAAGTGTCTTCCCCCAGTCACCTTGTTTCCTCTAATTCTACTTAAAAAAAAAGGTTTGCCTTTAATTAAGTAAATATACTTAAAATATGTGGTCACTTAAGATGAACTTTATTTAAACAGAAAGTTCTAAATTCTTAAAAAATTAATAAACATTTCTTTATTATAAGATTGCTACCTTTTTTAGATTTTTCTAGTTTTGGAATTCAGTTTCATATTTTTCAAAACTTGCACCTAATAACTCTTTTTATGAAAACAAAATGTTGGATTTTATATCAACATTTCGCTAACAGATGTTAGGAACAGTCTCTATTGATTGCTTTCTTGAAGATTTTTATTTTTTCTTCACTTTTTCAGAATAAGTTAACTAGAAAAATAACCAAAAATATCATCATGTAGGTCTGCTGGTAGAGGTCAACAATTGTTTTAGTTAGCTACAAAACATCTTTAATACTTATGGATGTGCTCCAAAATTGTTGGCAGAAGTTCATTAAATGAGGTTAAGAGATGATTTTCCATAACTGCTAAAAATTCCAAGTCAAATAATTCCTAGTACAGTGAAATCTTTTGTTTCTTTCTTCCCTAACTGTAAGAAGTTCCTGTATTATCTATCACTCATCTAAATTAATCTAGCTTGAATAAAAATAAATACTAACAATACCACATTAAAAAGTTTACTATGAAGTGTTGTTTAAATTAATACTTTTAATTGAAGACATGATTAGGAAAAATTGACATATCTGAGAGGTTTTTTTTTTTTAAAGATTTATTTATTTATGCATACAAGACCTGGGGTGTAGGCCAGAGGTGTGAGAGGGGGGTGAGAGGATTCACCAGAGACAGAGTGGGAGCAGAACAGGCAGATTGACTGAAATCGACTGCTAAGGGGAGCAGCAGGCGAATCAGGAGAGGTCTGCTGCGCCATATGTGGGTCAGCTCCCTGGCCGGGGATTGAACTCGTGAGGCAGTGGCTGCCATTAGCTTCATAGCTTCAGTGGCTTCCATTAGCTCAGTACTGAGACTGAGCCCTTGCACCACCAGGGAGGCCCCCACAGAGGTTTTTCTTTGCTTTAAAATTGTTACCAAGAGTACCATTAATAAAAGCAAATTATAAAAACTGTAGATGTCATATATTTTGTAGGTTTTCAAAAATAAAAACAAATAACCATGTAGTTTTGATAATCACTGGCATATAATTATTGTAGTAAGATATAAAAAAGATATAGGGGCCTAGCAGTAACAAATAAATATTATGACCCTGTATTTGCTACATACAAATGCTTATATGGATAGAAAGTAACCCAGTGATGGAGGAATTAATAGTTAGAAAGTCATCTGTCTCACTAAGATTCAACCACAGGAGGTCTGGAGAGTTGGGGGAGGGGAGGGGAGAGAAGAGGCCAGAGCAAGACAAGAGAGAAGAGAACTGGGAAGAGTAAGGAGGCGGGGAGAGAGACTAAGATAGCCCAGTCTCTCAAACTGGACATTGTGACTGTTCCTCTTAATGAAACATTGACATCCTAATTTTAGAGAAAGGGAATCCACACCAAAGTGCAAGGAGAAATAAAAGATGTGCTTGATTTTAGAGTTAATCATGGCTGATGTCCTGGTAAGTTAATGATGACCTAGAGAATTTCAGGGAATAAATTTTTCCCTTAAGAACCTAGTACCTAAGTAAGATGTGACTTGACTTAATACCGAAATTTCACAGATGTGATGATTGAGCGGGCAAGATGC